TTTGATTTCTGGGAACAGCCAATCATAGATGCCGCAAAGCTGGCCCCTGGCCAGGCAACGAATAGCACACCTACACGCGTAAGCCGACGCAGTCTGTCTGGCCAGGAAGCCTTCAAGGTCGACCCAGACTATGACCGTTCACGCTGGCCGCTGGGATGCCTGCGGCCCAGCCGGCACTTAGGACCCGGCTAACCTCCTAGTCGGTCGTGCGCTCCGAAGTCAACCTCCTTCCTGCTTATTCTCCATTCCTCTGTATACATAATAAACTATTTCTATTACGCTGGCCTCCACCCACTTCTTCACTCCTAAAGGACCATGGTCTGAAGATCGCAGTTGCTAGGGTTTTACTCACTTAACTCCCTGCGATCCTTACATCTTCGCCGGTATTTGTAACATACAGCTTTTCGAATACGCGCGAACGCACAGGACCCCGCGTCATCTTACGCCAACACTGGAGAGCCGGATGGCTGAGCAATCATCATGCCCGAGCCCACCACGCGTGATGAAAGTTCGGCACGTCAGAGCCCGCATGACGGTCAACAAGCTATCAACGCACAAGAAGGTAATCATCGTTAATTGTCGTTATATATTTACAGTAATGACTGGGTTCTATAAATACTGCAAATTCCTATGCATATGTTGCCTGTTTCTGCTACAGCTTTCTGCTAATATCTCTGATGAAGAATCCCCGACGGACTTCGAGACGTCAGACGAATAAAAGTCTTGTTCCAGCGACCGAATCTTCCTCTTCTCGTACAGCTTTTCCTTTCCGACAGGATACGCATGGTCGGCTTTCTCTCATCGGTAGCCCATTGAGTAATCAACAGCTACTGGTTTATAAGGACTGTGTTCCGATTCGGAAGCGATTCACTACAACAAAGCCAATTGAACAGGTGTCTGATGGAACTACTTGCTTAACTACCGTTAAGCCGGGTAATGACAGCTTTTGTTTCTCGCTAGGTACTCGTGTGACCGTTAAATACTGACCCTTTATCATTTCCTAACCATCCACTAGGGCTCAAGGCCCTATAATTGGGTACCGATAGTGTTAGTTATGCGCGTTCCGCGATCAGAGCAAATCGACGCAGGCCAAATTTGTTGTGAACACAGAGTTTCGAAGAGCCGGCAGGAATGAATACTAGGCGATTGCCAATAAGCTGGACCTCCCAACCCTTTCAGGGATGCAATACCCCCTCTGCACTTTAAAGGTTGTCACACGTGAACAGTAGGTAGCCGCGAAGAGTAGCAAAAAATACTCAAATAATCAACCAAAGATATTTATGATTAATCCCAGTGAACTGACTCTAACATACAGATAGTCATTGAGACTACTGTGGTAGCTGACAGATGGTGCACGCAGCTGCTGCCTCTATTGCTTGCGGGCACTTATTTGGCGCGACAACCGTGGCGACTCGCTAGCATGG